ACGTATGTATGTATGTACACACACACACACAAGCATAACACTACAGAACTTTGCAACCTAAAGGGATAAGAGCGCAATATGCAAATTCATAAATCTTTAGCATCTGAGGCACAGGAATCCACATAATAGACAGTTCAAAGATCTATTGCAATGCTTTCATTAAACCAAAGTCATGCATTTGAGTTATAAAATGCTTAAAAGTTTGATAAAGAAAAGGGAAAAGGAAAAGCAAAGAAGAGGCTATAAATCCCTAGTTACAAGATCTCAAGAAATTAAAGATGAATTTCAATGGTGAATGAGCAAGAGTAAACAGTAACATGGCAGATAATTTTTCACCCATTAAATGGTTCGCCTGCCTTTTTTTTTGGCTTTTTTTTTCAATTTATAACAATAAATGCATACTACTGATAGCCATTAGCGGAGGATATATTACCAAATAGCCAAGAAGCACCGATTTAAAACCTTCAGGCTACACAGGCATGCATCTTTAAACAGGATAGTCGAGGTTCAGAAATGGAATAATAATAGATAAATGCGAAAAAAGATGGTCGCTAAAAACTGAGAAATGTAGCAGTGGTGAATGCCGGTTAGTTCAGCATTTGGTTGAACATTCTAATAGGACTTGATTAATTCCAAAAGTGTTTCATGAGTTTGTATAAAGAATAATTCAAGCCAATTATATTATTTGGTTGAACTTTATTTTGTTTGATATCAAGTTCATTAAATAAGAACATGGTTGATAATAGCCTTTGACATTTGTGGATATGACCCGAATTTAATTAATTATTACATTTTTGCCCTCTTTTATTTCCTCAAGTACCATATATATACATATATATATATATATATATATATGTATATATATATATATATATCCTCACATGATAAATAGGGAGAGTTCATTGCTCTTATACTAGATGAAAGAGTTATCTTTCAGCAGAATAAGTGCATATGAACAAGACTGGTTAAGATTTACAATTATCATGAACCTTGTCTGTCCAATAAAAAACACATGGCCCTTCACAATACTGAATAACACTCCACTTAGGTGGTACATCATTGATTAGGGAGTGCATGTGCTTGAATAATTTATTGGCTCCCCAACACCCTATCACGATCATCTTTCATTAATAGCCAAGTCGTTGACAACTTATCATGTTCTAAACAATGCACCATGGCCACGTATCTTTCATCTTTCATTAATAAATTGCTTACTTCACAATTTATGAAGCTTTCATGTTTTCATGTGAAGCCCTTCCCCAAAATTAGCAAAAGTGTGTGTTGACCACCGAAGAGCCATTGTTTCTCATTTCAGGGTCTAATTGTGTGAACCATTCCACTTCAACAATATCTAGAGGTTCTCTACATGTTTTTAGCTTACGTTTTTATGCTCCCAACAGAATTCATCAGAATTACACATTGTGGAATGATATGATTCAGTTTCTATCTAGTATGCAGCATTTGGTGTTTTTTCCCTCAACTGAAAGGCAGGATTACGTAAAATTTTAACCGAACGATTACAGTATGAAACTCTTCACATCATTAACAACTAATTTCGTACTCAATCAATCTCATTATGGTTGCCTCAAATGAATATGAGAATCATTTATCATAGAAAGATCTTCAAGGAGACTAATAATACTTCTTCAGTAATGATTAATGGTGAGGGCTTAATACAGCTTACAATATTTATCTGATAACAAGCTTTTGGGTCTTGCGCACGACAACTGGTAGCCTGTCTCCAATGACACCGGGATCATTATACGCAGCAGCATCAGTAGGATATCCTTTCTGCAATAACAAGTAGAGTAAGGATTCAAACAGAAGAAAGAAAGAAATGATGAGAGGAAAAAGAAAAACTAATAATTGATAACCGAGCCATATCGAATGAACTCGGAATTAGTTTATTAAAAAAACAAGAATCCAGAGTTAAAATTATTGCATAGAAACCAATGAAGTGAAAATACAGAAGAAAAAACAAGGAATACAGCGACATCTAGATGATTAAAGAAAGAAGTAACTGACTTTCAGATCCCAACTTGGGAAAACGTTAAGTTATATGCTCGCATATAAGACAAAAAATCACTCACGGATGATAAGCCCTTAAAGGTGGCTTCTCTCCAGCAGCTTTCTCGGAGAACAATTGTCTCTTTATTGTCCCCAAAAGTACAATGCATACGAGTTTCCCTCAATCTCATAAGCACTCCATCAACTCTGAGCTATAAGATGATGCCAAATAATCAATAACCAATGATCAACAGTTTGTAACACGAGCAATGATTGTTAGAGTTGAAAAATTATTACATATGACATTACATATGCATTCCCAGATGAACACAGAGGAGAAATTAAGTTTCCCGTAAGTTTACTAGCCACTTCTGAATATTCATCAGAGAATTTTCTGTGTTGTCAAGGGATTATCTTATGGAACTTTCACAACACTCACCCAGAAGCGCAAGAGGAGGAACCAGCCACTCGGCATCACTCTCTGCAACATCACACAAATAAAGAGGAAATAATTTGACCTCCAGACCAGCAAACCCAAGCAATGTGGAGATTAAAGTTACCAGAAGATTCGGCTTACCACTTTAACAGTCAAAAGAGAGACACCGTTGTCAGCCAATTCATCTTCATACAATACAACCTATTTACATTGAAGATGATGCTGGTCATGACGCTATCAACAGAATCAAGAAATGAAGTACATATCTGAAGAATCACGGACCTCATCATAGAAAAGAATGGGTTCTTTAGACGCCAATGCAATCTTATCAATTTTTTCCTGGCAGTCTACCCAATTAGTATTGCAGCTGCTTTCCACTGGTGCTCCTGCTCCAGACTGGAAATGAGGTAACAGTGTACCACAGGAAATCAATTTAAAAGCAATCAGGTCAATGCATCAGGAACCTATTTCACAAAATTAGGTGCAAAAGATAGCAGAATGACAGACAAATCCTCTCTATTTTTAGAAAGTGGTTCATATGATCAAAGAAAGAGGACACACCTCAGCATGTTTTTCGACATCTGCACTTCCACAGTATGGTGTAGTGAATGTATAGTCATAATCCAGTATCACCTGATCATCAGGCTTGCTGCATGGCTTAGAAAAAGAACTACTGAGAAGAGGTACAGCGACTAGCCAGAAATGAAAATAGTGGCATTATTTTGTGCACACTATGGCATCAATTCTTAAGTAAGTCAAAGTCACGGAGTGAGAAAGTCAAACGTGCTATACTTGTTTGAAACTTTTACTAATACAAATTGTTTAACATACTCTCCCAACACAGCCTCAAACATAAAGCTAGAAGAACGGGTGCCTGAGATAACAAAACTCAACTTTGCACTGGTCTTAAGCCTCTAGGTCGCATTGATAGCTCCTGAGCATTTCTCAAAGTTTTGGAAATCGCATTTCTTAAGTGCTTTCGTTTTGAGTAATTTGACATGCATACGGAGATATACGAAATCAAAGGTCCCCAGCCTTTAAGGAAGAAAATGGAGATCAGACATGCATACCATCGAAATTTCCACTTTGCAGCTGCTGGAACTTCAACCGGAGGCAACCTTTCCTGCTTCCAGCCAGATAGAGCATCAAATGCATTAAAATGTACATTTACGCCACTACTCACATGCTTGAGAACCAAACAACTTTCCCCAAAAACCATCTCTGGCAAGTGCGATGTCTGAAGCTTCTCTTCCCACCTACAGGTACAGACAACGTCAATAATAATTCAAGGTGAACAATGTGACCTTAGAAAGAATAATGTGTTGATCATTGAAGATTCAAGACTGTCGTCAAACAAAATCCATCTAGTTACCAAAAGATTCCTTGGGATGATACGGGGTGAAAAGAATTTCAAGTATAATTTGTGTGGAAGGCAGATATCAGATCAAAGGTAAGTAACAAAGTGCAAACTTCGTAAGGAAAGAAAAAAGGAAAACACCCATAACTTTCTATAGTAAAAGATGTCATTTTGCTTAAGATAGTGACAGTGGCACAACAAAACTTTCGTGCACAGAAACCAGAACGAACTCAGCACAATCTTTTGCATTCAACACATTTAACAAACACAGCAATCTTCAAATTTCGTCCATAAAAGAAAAAAAAAAAATAAACTTTCGACCTAAAAACTTAAGCAAATCCTCAGCGCGTAGATAGAGCAAACAAACGAGATAATTCCCAATCGGTAGCAAATGTGAACTATTCGATGATTTTCAAGTCAGTGATACATCATAAGCTAATGAAAAAAATTTTAACGGCGAGATTTAGGAAAGCATTTATGAGAGACGAGGTACGAGAAACAGTACTCGTGGACAAGGGAGGAGCTAAGAATAGGACGCTTGCGAGACTCGATCTCCCAACCGCGAATGAGAAATCCGACGCGCCCACCGCCGAGGGCCACCGCGCCGGCCGCCTTCAGCTCCTTCTCGTCGCCTTCCCACTCCATCACCGAATGACCTTAAAGTTAATAGTGAATATTTTTGCCGTCTGTATTTGTTTCTTAAGGAGGAACTTCAGTTTGACCTTCATCACAGTCTAAACGCTTTTGTTAAAAAGTGCTGAACTGAGTAACGATTTAGACCATTTCTAATATAATTTAATCAAAAAGGAACAATTTTTAAATCTTAATAAATATTAATTTGGCAAATTGTATCATAAATATAATTAAATTGCATTGTAAACAAATCCTAGAATTTGATTTTGTGCATATGCACATGTGTGAATAAAATAAATAAGTGATGTGTTTGCATATAATATGTATATCTAGATAAAAAAAGTTTGTATTTACTTAAAATAATATTTTTCTTCCAAAAAATATTTTGTTACTAAATGAAAAAAATGAACATTACTTTTACCATTTCTTTTTTTTTTTTTTACAAAAAAGGAGGCCAAAGGCCTAGAACTAGAACTTGTCGGGGGTAAGACACCCCGATGTTATCATATTGAAGCCATTCTCCCAGCCCTAAGGGAGGAGAAGAAAGACGGTGCAAGCCAATCGGGTAGGAAGCTGCCATACTGGCCAAATGATCCGCAGCGAAGTTGGCTTCCCTATGAACATGCTGAATACTTTCACCATTTCTTACTAGTAGGCAACCAGTACGACACCGATTTTTTTTTTTTAACTGTAGTTAAAATATAAATATTAATATTGTATTTATTAATTTTTTCTCCAGAGTTGTGTTGTGTTTTTCGTACTTTTGCTCTGCCTTGTTTGAGGTGCGACACGCATTATTTTCTCCAGAGTTGGTTTTGTGTTGTATTTATCGTATTTTTGCTCGGCCTCGATTGAGGTGCGTTGCGCCTCATTCATACATAAGTAGGAAACTAATGATAGTGGTACGTCATTTAGGGGCGAGGTGGCTGACTCATGTCGCCATGTAAAAATTCGACTTTTGAGAATGGAAAGTTCGTTTTGGCTTTTAATGACAATACCGGATGGACGGTGACTTCATCGATTTACTTTGGGTTTTCTTTCACATTTTGCAAAGAGACTGGCAAGGATTGCTAGCAGGTGATCAGCACTCCAATCAACAATGGTTCGTTACAATGTATATGGAGGATGCTTGGGCTCCTTTATTGGCTACACGGGCTCAAGTTGGAGGGCTTGAACACGTTCAGGCCATCTCTTCATATATATTACTTCAAAACATGTTGAATTTAAATAACATATTCTCACGCGAATGATGACATGACAAAAATCTATGCTTCATTATGTTATTCATTTTTGCTCTAGAGTTAGACATGATATTAGACATAAATAACTTTTTTTTCAAAATTGGTAAGTGTACATTTAATTTTGTTATTTTTTTCTATTAATATACATTTCCTTCTTTTAGGCAAGTAGCAATCTTACCAAATTATAATTTTCTCTCGTATTTCTCTTCTAATTTATGATTTACAAATTACTTTATGCATTGTCTATTTCTTTTTTCTTCATCAATTAGTCCATCAAAATTTTTAAATAAAATTTTTTTTAGCAATAACTTTTAAAATGTATTTTTTAACTCAACATTGTGCTCAACATCCATATAGTACACGGATATCGTACTAGTTTCTTATACAGTAAACATATATTTTTTGGGCCGGCCCATGAATTTAAGCATCAATTTAGGCATCAACAACTTATTTCATTATGTTTATTATGGATAACAATTAGATTTTCTAAACAAAATTATGACAATTTGAAATCCTCTCGCCAAATTTTCTCATAGATATAATAATTTGCAAGTGCAAAGTATAGATAAATATATAATAGTGGTAGTTTGTTTTTTCTTAACTAAAATTCTCCAATTGAACCCATCTTCCTCCATATACTACAAGCCCTTATGATATTGAACAAACAACACGAACACACTTCAGATAAGAAGCAAACTATGATGTTTGTTCCAAAAACTCAGGATTACAATATGCACAAATCATTACAATTTTTTTTTTTTAAAAAACAGTAATGTATATACATTGCAATTTATTCTAAATTATCATTACAATTTTTTTTTTTTTAAAGAGTAATGTATATACATTGCAATTTATTCTAAATTGTCAAGAAGTGTTTATTCAATTACTCAAAAATGCCGAAAACATGTCATTCGCACACGACTTGATGAGCTTCAGTTTGAATTTCTCCCAAACTATGCAACTTACAATAGCTAACACAAATCTTACCAGACATCCATACTTTCATGGCCTTTACCTTAACAAGTTGAGGTCATGAGCAGAGGAGAGCGAATCCTCATTCGAGTGGAATCTCAAAAAAGCTCGAACGGATCTCCAAGGGAGGATTCATTGAGGCCACACACTTGAACTGTTCCATGATCACAAGTCATAAATTGTAACAATGAAATTACGAATAGTGAACATAACTACAATTTACCATTATTCAAAGTGGTACCACCTATAAGAGATACCTTGTGATCCAAATACTTCTGCCTGACAGCTTGTGTATATGTTTCACATTTAAGAAACAGATTGTGAAGACTGAAAACACACTCTTTCAGTTCGTATGGTTTGTAACCTGTGTGCTTTTGCAATGCCTGGGTCTACGAAAAAGTATTAGAAGGCATAATCAGTAAACACTAAAACAAACCGATACAGTATGTATTACGTTGTAAAAAACCATCCAAAGGAGCAAATCTGAAAATCGACTATCTTATTTTAAGAGTTTTAGAAGGCATTACAAGTATCTATGAAGTTTGTGATTGTTATACGAATTTACCCCCTTCACCTCAAGGGCTGCAATTTGGAGAGCAGAAAATAAACAGATGTAGAAGGTGTATTTGTAACTTTGAAAGATAACTGGGTGATGTATAATTTAATTTAAGTTTCAACGGTGATTTTTGTAACTACTGTAATTATCTCATCATTTTATTAGTCCAATCGATTCTACAGTCTATAATTTGGCTAATAAATCAGATAGGAATTTTCTACAGTTTATAATTTGGCTATGCTTACCCATGGGCGAGATTCTGGCTGCATAATCAGTCTTGCAAGAAAGATAGCTGAGGCAGCTACCATTGATGGAATGTAGCGGACACAGCTGTAATCCAATAAACTTAGCTCCGAAAGATAATAGCATAAGAAATCGAACTGGAGATTTGAAAACTGAGGGAGAAAAAGGAATGAAAGCACTTGGTGAGACTTATATGCAGATATTTTATGAGCAAGGATATGATTTGCAATACAGATAACAAGTTTTTGAATTTAAGCCTACCACGAGTTTTTCCTGAGCAACCCTGGTAAAAATTCTGCAAATTCCACAAAAACAGTGAGTTCTATATTGAATAAGTAATCAGCCATTTTCCTTTTACATCATCTCTGCTGGGTAACACCCGCTTTAACATACAACACAACTTTTCAAATTTACAAGAGAGAGAGAGAGTGAGAGTGAGTGAGTGAGTGAGTGAGAGAGAGAGTGTGTGTGTGTGTGTGTGAGAGAGAGAGAGAGAGAGCTATGCGCATCCACATAGTGGATACTAAATTACTAACCTGAGAAATGTTTTGGATGTTGGGTTACCCATCTCAAAATCTAACATTTTGAGAACTTCTCTCTCCATATTCACAACCTGTTATTGGACAGACAAGAAAAATTAAATACCCACAACAGCATTACTATCACATGCTTATATGCCACAACTGCAAATTATTGAAAAAAACCATAGAGACCTCATCTTTTGTATACGTATTGTCCGTCATATAGCAAAAATCTTCTATGTGTGGGGGTTTGATTTCTTCGTGTTTTCTGCAGTTATAATGAATCGATATAAAGAATGCAAGCAAAATATGAGCAAATAAGAATCAAGAAAACCACAGGCTTACGATGCGACAAGCATGCAAGATACACCAAGAAGCTGAAGCTTATTTCTGAGCAGCTTATGGGTCGAAAGGTATCGGTCTATATAATTTACAGTGAGATACAATGTGTCTGAAACGAGTTTATACTCCTCTGCAACCTCAACTAGCCAGTCAATCAGTTTGGCCCTCATAGCTGGCTTTATGTCCTCCTGAACTTTTTCCAAGTAATTAAACAAAGGCCTCCTTTTCACCTCAACCTAATACAGCGAACATTTACATGCCAAAAAGACCAATAAGACAAGTTCCGAGATACAAGAGCCGTAAATAATTTTTGGCAGTTATCTTACGGAAATGGAATGCATTAAAGTGGTGTAAAGAATCGAACTTTTTGTAACTAGGAGTATTAAGATAGAGTAAGGCAAATGGTATGACGTCCATTATTTTAATTCAATCGATAACCATAGTTCTAGGACTAATAATTTTCCCCAAAGTAGGTCCACAAGGAATGTTAATCAACAGCTACAGAATTAAATAAGCAACCATATCTAGAATTACGGCATGGTTTAATATCAAATCTCAGCAATATGAGCTTCCAATGTGGATATAAACCAAAGATGGAAATATAAACTTCACTAACACGAACATTTTCCCATAAAGTATGACAAACAATAAACGCACAAGCTAAGATCAATACCAATTCCCTCATCTGATCACAGAAATCCAAGCGCGCTGAATAAAATCAATGTTACAAGGCCGACATACTAACACACAGAAACCCAAATAATCATTCTCCACTCACTAAATTTCACGATAAATGGTCTGCAAATTTAAGCACATACTAGGATAACAACACTCTTATCTCTGTGCAGTAAATGACTGAAAAATTACAATCCTCAAGAGAAAACAAAGGATACATCTATATCCATAATTATAAACTATACGCTTATTTATGCAATGCTTGCACCAATACATCGTCAGACGATATTATTTAACAGGTTGTCGGTAAATAAATAAAGCAAGGCAAAGAATAGATACCTCCAAGGAGTGTAGATGCTGAAATATGGAAGCAGCATATCCAAAATTTTGCGGCTTACACTCCAAGCCTGAATTCCCCCCGTTTCGAGCCCTCTGAGTTAAAGACTCGGTCTCGATCTTCTGGGTTTTCGTCACAGCCGAGTTTTGGGTCGCCGGGGGAACATTACACAGTATGTTAGTGAGCTCCCCCAACACGACCCGCTTCTTTTGTTCACCTTCTGAAGATTGATTGGGCCGTTTTCGAGGAGCTTTATTTTCCATCGGAAATTGAATTTTTCTCGGTCGTTGCTACAGAGCTAGGGTTATACTGTGCGCCGGCACTGAAGCTGCTTGTATTGTACGGTGAGATTTGTACGGATTTGATAATGGTTCTGGGCGGAATGTGGAAAAGAGGTGATGGATGAGGAGGAAGAAAGTTTCTATTATGTTTGATTTGTGTTTACGGGTGTGGGGAGGAGGGAGAGATGAAGGTGATTTTGGTGCCGCCATTTTCACAGTTCAAAAAGCTTGGTTTGCCGCGCTGTATTTTGTTTTGTTTTATGGTTTTTAACATTTGTGATTACTGAAATTACATACTCATTTAGGAAAAGTCAGCATAATTCTTATAATAATACTTTACTTTGTTATTAAGATTGAAAAAAAAAATATATATATAAAGCATAACTTCAGATAATGTGGTTAGCTATAAAGAAAAAAAAAAATCAATATAAAACATAACTCCGGATTGACAAACTATAAAAAAAATGACAACAAAAGCGGCTGAAATCGCCGACTTAAATGCTCTAGAATTTTCCTCTAGTTACTATATATATTTGTGTAATCAGTTGAATTGTGGCTAGAAGAAGAATTTTCCTCTAGTTACATCGGATCGCACCAGACCGCTGTGGCGAGCCATTTGGCGGGCGCTGGCGACCGAACGTGTGTGTCATTTCCTATGGTTGGCTAGCCGGGACCGTTTGTTTACCAGTAAGGAAAAAGTTCGGCAGCACGTAGCGGGAGACGATGTATGTTGCTTCTGTGGTTTACCCGAGTCAACGTCTCATGTTCTTCGAGATTGTGCGAACGCCCGCAACGTTTGGAATGGGCTACTTCCGATTTCAGGCCGACAGGACTTTTTTGTTCTTGAAGCTCGAGAATGGTTCTGGTCTAATCTGGTGGATTGTTCGACAGTGGAGATGGAAAGATGGGCGACCGTTTTTTTCCTTCACGTGTTGGCGCCTTTGGTATTGGAGGAACCTGGCCATATTCTTGAACAAGACTTTACCTCTTGAGGCTAAGATTCATGATATTAGGCATAGAGTGGATACATATGTGAGCATTATGGAGTGGGAAGCCAAGTTAGGGGTTCGAGATAGCCGTTATGAAGAGATTATGATTCACTGGCCTCCCCCTCCCCCCAGGTGGATTGGATTAAAATTAATACGGACGGTGCTCTTTGTTCTAGAACTGGAAGGGGTAGTGCAGGCGGGTTAGCGCGAGACTCAAATGTGTTGGGAATTCCGACCACACTGAAACTCCGTCCAAGATCTACTGAAAATAATAAAACTAGAGAACACAAAGTTTAACGTGGAAAATCCTTTGTTAACGAAGAGGGAAAAACCACTAGGGCAACAAGGCCGTAGAAAAATCCACTATGTAAAAAAAATTACAATCACACAATTTTTCTATCACTTATACCTAAATTACCCCATAGAATTTTCTATCCGTTAACCTTAACTCTCACCGTAAGGAATTTTTAACCAGAGATTAATTGTTAACACAATAACTCTGTGAAAAAGTAGCACCTTCTTATATAGGGGAAAACTCTCCTCCTCTCTCATCCCACTTCCGATGTGGGACAAAAGAGCAAAAAACATAACAAACTCCACCTTGCGATTTTGACCCATCTGACAGCCACTATTCACTTTGATGAAATTTTTCATAGCTTTAGCTATCATGCTCCACCATAAAAGCATATCCACTCGGACTCGCATCCAAGCATTTCTTCGGCCCATGTCGAAATAACCTTGCTGAAATCTATGGTGTAACTTCCACGTTTGGCTTTCCTGAAAGTTCATCAGCCCTCGACACGCTTTTTCCACCACACACCTTGCATCACCGCCAAACCAATGCCCGTGTGTAAACTGTGGACCCGCTAATTGTAACACGTCCTCTTTTCATGACACTTAGTGACATGCCATAAGGACTCCCCTTTCTCTCTTAGCAAAACTCATCCATGGAGAGAGAGACAAAATTAGCTTCTTCGTTATCTCCACTTACCGACTTCGAGCTTTTTGCCGAACCTGCTCCTCTTTTCGGACAATTTCTTTTCACGTGCCCAGATTGTCCACACGTCCAGCAAATTACGACTTCCTTCTTCTTGGAGTTCCTTTTCTTTCCGTCACTGACGAGCATGACTTAACCTTCCGGTGAATTGTTTCGTCCACCATCTAGCCTTCTCTTTTCCGCAAGAAGTTTACCAGTGACTTCAGAAAATACAATTTTCTCCTTCCCATGAATCAAGATCGGCTGCATGTGTTCATAAGAAGTTGGAAGAGACCAGATGAGTCTCGACGCCTGATCCTCATCATCAATCTTCACTCCAATGGATTCCAGCTCCGAGACGATCCCATTGAGAACGTTTAAGTGGTCTGAGATGCTTTGACCTTCAGTCATTCGCAGTGTGTGAAACTGCTCCTTCAGATACACCCGATTTGAGACGCCTTTAGCCTGATACAACTCCTCAAGCTTTAATGCTTTTGCCGTCGAAATTCCATGCACATTAGCAAGAACATTCTTGACCAGACACAATCGTATCGCGCTCGCCGCTCTCAAATCAAGTTCCTCTCAGTCTTCATCGCTCATTCCACATTTGCTCACACCAGCTTTTTCTTCAGTGCTGCTGGTAGCACTGCCTTTGGGAATTTCCGAGCCCTTCAAAGCTTTGTGTAACCCCGATTGAATCAGCACGTCCTTTACTTGCACTTGCCACAAGCCAAAGTTGACTTTTCTGTCGAATTTCTCCACATCAAATCTCGCCAGATTCGATATCTTATTTCCAGACATCTTCGTAAATCAGTGAGCACTAACTTCGCAGAAAATCGAGCAACAACCTTGAATAGTACTGATCAGATAAATTCTCAGGAAGGGTAGCGACCTGCCCCCTAAAGAATTACCCTTCTAAGTAAGCTCCCAGGAAAGGCTGGTGGGGTCACAACGGTCCCACTTAAAAAACCAGTCTCCTAGACAGAACCTACTTACACAGTAATTATTCCCCACTGCCCAAGAAACTCCTCTGCACACAAGCTCCATCCGTCACTGGCTCCACTGCACGAAGAGACCTCTTTGGTATCTTTTCTGATGTGAAAGATCAGACAAAACTGCAACCACAGAGCATACTCAGAATACCAACTAGGCTAACCTCGCTCTGATACCACTTGTTGGGAATTCCGACCACACCGAAACTCCGCCCAAGAT